GTAATGTTTCTCTACAGTCTCCGAACTTGAAGGTGTTTTTGGTAATAGAAATATTAGCATTCATATACGAAAACAGTTAAAGAAAACCAGAGTTTTCTCTACATTTCACAGCAGCCTTTCTCAATCTGTTTATCCCCGACACTTTTTTTTTTTTTTTTTTTTTTAAATAATTATCATGGCTCTTTCTTCGTTATTTGTTGATCAATCATTACGGTTTCCTCTTTCAAAGGAACTTTTCGACTGGGTCGGAGCTTTATTCAGTTAGGGCATTTTGCACCCCTGTTGTTGCTACTCTCCCGTGATTCATAGTGGCATTTAAGGCAAAATGGTTTGCTGTCTTTTTTTTTTTTTTTTGCACCGGCGATGTTGAGGTTAACTCGTCCCTCTTCTCGAAATTTCTTCCGCCCACTGGTAAAGACGTTGACTTATGAGGCGCATCTCCTACGCCCAGGCTGGCGACTGGCTGATGGCTGCATGGCACAGGTGGGTTGGAGAGAGGCGTTCCGCTTCACCGATCGAGCTGGGAAAGTCTTCCGACTACCCTCACACATTTGAGCCGGCAGGTGGATGCCGTTGACCGGGGTGTGGGCATTGCAGTGTAAGAGTTGGATGTAGGCTGTGTACCAGTACAGTTCCACATAACAATTCACCTGAGCAAAGCAGGTCGACTACTTCGCTGCAAAGGCACTACCACTGACGATACACCCCTGGTAGTCAAACTAAATATTCAACAGATTTTGTTTCTGGGGAAAAAGGGGAAAAAAAATGGCGAGACACGGTTTTAATATAAACGGACTGGTGGGGGGGAACAAAACTGGGTGGGGTCTAGAATAACAGTAGGTAGGTTTGAAGAAGGGGGCACGGTGGAGTAATGCAGCTCGGATTGAGGAATCGGAGAGCCGAGTTCGAATTCTAGTCGAATCCATTACATTCCTTTACGTACTAATACTCTTAGGAAGGTATGAATCCTCTTCTCCCATCATCTATGGAGAAATAGCAGACTGGTCTACCGCAGAAAGAAATGGCAATCTACTGCGGGGAAAAAATCTGCCTCGTCAGTCATGAATCGAAGATGCATAATCGCCTAAGCGTGTATCACGTATGGCACATAACTGACTGACTGAGGCTGGAAGAAATTGAAATAGTCGAGCCTCTCCGTCTCCTTTTGGCTTTAGAGTAGTTAGATTCAGACACAATCTTCTCTTCGGCTCTGAGTGGAGGTAGTTAAATCTATTTACATAATTAGAGATAAGATAATGACGCTCTACAGATAACAAATATATTATGTAGCAAATTATTGAAAAGAACTGTTTCATTAGGATCAATTTTCTTATTTTTGTTGACGTTGCCACCAATGCAGGGAATAATATATATATATATATATATATATATATATATATATATATAAAAAAAAGTGTAACCCGGATATAAGAGATTTTTTCTGTTCCCAAATTAGAGCCTGTGTTAATGTGTATAAAATAGATTAAACCCGGATATAAGAGACTTCTCCGGTCCCGACAACTCTCTTATATCCGGGTTACACTATATATATATATATATATATATATATATATATATATATATATATATATATATGAACCTCGAAATGTGATTAAAAAAAAAAAAGAAACTAGTCCGAATGAATCGATGTCTTATAGTAACATCACATTGAAATTCATTTTTATTATTCATTAAAAAAAGATGTGTGGGTGGTGTAACGGATAGTGGCTCGGAATGAGACATCGGCGACCAGAGTTCGAATTCTAGTCGGGTTCGTCACATTCACTTACGCGAAAATACCCTTGGGGAAAGGTATAAATCAATGCTCCCCCACGTCTACTTGTTAAACAGTGGGTGTTATTTATATAAATCCCTATTCTAAAAAAATGTTAATGCCGTAGTGAAAGGGGTATTCTTGCAAAACCTGTTTCGGCTTTAAATCAGCCACAAAGAGTTGACAAGCCGTAGATTTAAAAAAAAAAAAATCAAAACTATCAATACTAAAGAATACTAAAGAACTCATTTGGATGAGAAGGTTGAGAAAGGCTGCTCCAGACACTGTCCAGGATACTTTTTTTCCTGGTTTTATTTACCAAAAAATAAACTTTAATAAATGAGATAGACACGTCGATTTTTTTTTTTTTTTATACCTTCATGAAAAAATTAGCACGAAGTATCTGAATCACTGAAGGTGGAGATCGTTTACATTTACTAAGTTTAGTACGGCACAAGGCCAAGTGAAAAAGGGTCAGACTAGTTAGTCTTCTATGTGGCACGAAACAAAATAATACTGGGTGATTTTGGGAGGACCGAATTCGTGAATTAGTCTGAGACAATCTGGCACTACTGAAGTTGTTCATTAGACATTCTTTCTATCCACGGCATTTGTCAGAACATAAAATTGATTCCTTTTTTTTTTTTTTCATTTAAGATAGGGAATCCTGTTCATAATATAAATACAGTGTCAAATCGATAATTAAGAATTTGTTTGTCCTTTGCCTATTTGAAGCATTTCTCCCAGTTTTATTGGAAGAGGTCATTTAAGATCACGATAACATATGTATGCCTACTAAACCAAAATGACCCATGAAGATATAAACTTGTCAGTGTCCGATGTCATGTATTTATTAACGACTTGAACAGTCTGTTTTGGCTTGAAAGACGTATTTTACTTGGCCAGTATATTTTTAAAACGTCGTAAATTACGTTAAATATTATAAAACTGCTTCCACTTCTTTTAATGGCCGGTGAACACGTCTTCTTTTGTGGGCGTAGTCTTATGACTTTGCGAGACCTACATCGTCGGCATATAAATGCCTTTGCAAGATATCGTGAAAATGTTCGTCCCTATCGCTTAGTGATGGCCCCAAACCAGCGTGGACTTATCGTGGCGTATTTTTATCGCGTTATCCGATAGAAACCAAAATGCTGGCCAAAACCATTGAGTAATTGTCGTGAACGTTAAATTTCTCAGCAAGTAGACGAATTTTTGTTCCCCTCCAAAGTAGGCCAGTACAACCAGGCAACAATGCAATAGAAAAAGTGTTAATACAATATGAATTTCTGAAAAGTTGTAAAAGTTACTAGCACATCCTAAAATTAACTGAGACCAGTGGCGTTCTGGGTCGAAATTTTCTACCGGGAAAACTTATAAAAGGACCCAGTCAAAAGGGCCCACTTAATCCCAAAACAAAGAACTGAGGATATCAGTTATCTACCGAAAAAAAAAAAATGGTAGCATCAAAGAAGCCTTATTTAAATCTTCCCAGAATCTATGCAATACTTCAAATTTTTACTTTTTTCGGTTATTTCTAAAGTGATAGACCCATCACTTTGGGGCCCACTGGGAAATTTCCCGGTGGGCCAGTCCACCACTGGCTGTAAACTATTACTTAAATTCGTAGCTATTATCAGAAATTGACGTGATGTCTTTATCAAAACCAATAGACTATTTCACTTTCTGAAAAAAAAAAAAAATGAATGAATTTTGTCTTTATTAACATTTTTAAAAATGATTCTTGTTAGATTTACAAACTTGTTTTACTCTTTGCCAAGAATACAAATTTTCTTAGCGAGAATAATTTTCTTTATTTTTAAGAATGTTGTTGGACATGTGTTTATAGCTTTGTCATTGTTTATATTTTATTTATAAATGTCAATTTATTTACAAGCCTCTGCGTGATAGAAAGCCAGGAACGAATTCTCTTCCATATGTTTAGGTTTCGTTTTGCAGGTAAATTCTTTCTTACTGGTCTCTAATTTTGTTTAAATTGCATTAATTAACCCAGCGCTAGTTAAACATTTTCTTTCATGACGTCCAAAAATGTCACCATTTAATTCTTTTTTTCTTTTTTTTTAACCCGATGGCGAGAAAACTCTAACATAAAAACGTTAATTCTTTGCTGAACATTTAAAATTGAAATTGCTAGTTATAAACTCTGGCAAAAGATGTAAAGTTTAACATCTGTGATGGAGGCCCACCGTTCTACACCTCAATGGAATCGGTATTCCATTGTGTATCATATTTAGTTTGGTAGACAAGTGAATTAACAGTTCCAGTCAGACTGCCTAATTTTGGCCAACCAAAGATATGTGTTCAGCTGAAAATTTTGGAAGAACATTTTCATCAGATTTATGCTTTTTTTTTTTTTTTTTTTTTCCTTGCTGGCCTAATGCTCATGGTCAAGTCTGCCCTTACTTTACCCTCATTGGCTAGTTGACTACTTTAAAGTACATAAAAATAGTCGGCAGGTTTCTTAGTAAAATAAGACCGTGAGATCTACCAAAATATCAATATTTTTATATTCCTTTTTAATCATTTTGAATTTTAAATTAAAAAAAAAAATTCAGAATTTAACCGATTTTTTTTATCAAACATCGGTATGCCAAAATAATTTTATATTGGAAACACATTTGATGACCTACTGACTTGTTGTAGAACATTATCCTCAAACCGTTCCTCTGAAAACTTCAAAAAATATCAAATATTTGTAATTTTAACTTTCTTGGCTTCCTGTCACACAAAGGCTTGTAACTGAAGCATTTTCGGTTCTGTGCTTATAAGTATTATCTATGTATGACCCTAGAAAAATAAAACATTGGATGATATGTCACCTTTTTAAAAGTTCCGAAGCTAAGCGCGTAGTAATTTCCCACAATGCACCAGGACAGTTTGCCTTTCTAGTTGTCATGTCCTTGATATTATGTTGATTGAAATTCGAAGTATTATAAATGTTGTGTTTATTAAGATTTCTTTTTCTTTTTTTAAAATCACTTTTTTTTTGTCTGCAATGTATAAATTCTTAGATTTAGTCTTTGCCACCATTTTCCCTGCCCCAAAGTATTTCCTTTTTGTTGATCTCATCACAAGCACACAGCAACCACCATTTTTTTTCTGCATGCAGTGTTCTTTTTCCACACTCTCATACCCTTTTCTTTTTAGTAGTTCCTATTAACTTGTTTAGTATGCATGTAAATCGAAAGAAACTCATTGGTTACAT